TCGTTGAATATTTTGGAGACTTATTAACTGCTGTACAGTTAATGCTTGTAGACATTTGACGATTAGTGATGTTGTATTTCTTGTACAGTTAGCTGCCGAACTAAATCGTTGAAAAGACTTCTTCGCGTTAGCAAGAGTTATTGGAAATAATGTACGTGATTTGATGTACGATGGTATTGCTCCGTAAGAACCACTTTGAGATATTACACCTCTAAATAATCCTTTACTAGAAGGCATAACTACGTGGTATATGTTATGTATGATAGACTGGTAATGTCTAGGAATTAGGGCAGATAAATTGCATAGCTGCCTAACTGATAAGATAACCGTATGATACTAATATCGTAACTGTATTGATACGTTCACTAGTAATTTACTAATACGTATGTAATATACAGTATATATCACTTGTGGGAAAGGCAACCCACAATAAAGAAGTGGACTCCACGCATCAGGCTACTTTGCTATGTCTAACCGAGCATTGCATGATTGACCTAGGGTCGCGATAGAGAACATAACGGTATATAGCAGATGAACCGCCTGCTGAATTTCCAGCTAACGTAATAAAATCTGGATTACCTCCAAAATTTTCAATATTATCTTTTACCCATTGCAGTGCAAGACTTTGATCTTTTAAACCATTATTAGCTAGTATAGCTCTTTTAGCAATGTCTTCTTCGCCGGATGTCATAAAACCTAGAATACCTATTCGATAGTTAATAGTAACTACGACGATATCTTCATGAGCAGCTAAGATTTGACCACCCCATCGTGCTCCTGAACCACCACGGTATCCACCACCATGGATGTAAAACAATACAGACATATTCCCAGCTCTAGAAGGATTAGAAGTGAATATGTTTAGGTATAAACAGTCTTCGCTAGTTTTACTGGCTAGTGAGTTCGGTTCAGTATAAAAGTCTAACGGAAGTCTCTGAGGACATGTATATTGATATTGTGTAGCATTTAAGACGCCATTCCAAGATTTGACTGGTACAGGCGGTTTAAATCGTAATTCATTAATAGGTGGTTGAGCGTACGGAATACCAAAATAGGCGAATTGAGTTCGATCGTTCGTTATAATCGTTTTTCCACTAACTAAACCGTTTTTCGTAGGAATAATAAGTTGTGCGTTAGAAAATGGCATTATAATAGCCAACACTATAATAAAGCATGCTAAGATTTGAA